AATAATTACAAAATTAATGAAAACTAAAATTAAAAAAAAAAAAAAATGAAAGAAAAAAATGCCTACGACTTTCTGGTTGAAAATCTCAAAATCCCAGTAGCCCCCCGGATTCTCCCATTGCCATTTTGTGATCTTCAATTGAAATCTAAAATTCCGGCCAGAATCAATTGAAAGATGAGCAACAGAAGCCAGAAGAGCACTGCGCCGCCACCGGCCGACGAAGTGGAGCAGCTGCTGCAAGCAACTCAGGACGAGATGCTGTTACAGCTCTCCATCGACACTCACATGTCTCGCGTAGCGCCCGCTTACCTCGAGTCCGATCTCGATCGCCGCTTCCAAGCCCTCAAATCGAAACCCTCTGCTCGTCAGCCGCAATCACGGCAATCATCAGCTCCCAAACAACAACAACAACAACAACAACAACAGAATCGGCGGCAAGAGGCTGTTGTTGACGATGTTGATCAGGAACTGAGGAGTGTGTTGGGCGATGATCTCAGTGCTAGATTTGCTGCTCTCAAGGCCTCCTCATCTTCATCTTCCTCTACCGCTATAAATGATGTTCGTGCTGGCACCAATGTGGCAAATAGTCGTGCAGATGATGGTTTTGAGGATCATCAGGACGATAAAGAGGATGAGGTTGAGAAGGTAATCCGATGGGCTATGGATGCCGCCCGCCTTGATCCGTCTCCTCCGTCCGATGATGAGGACGACCACAATAAAGAAGAGTCAGATGACAATGACGATGACGATGACGATGATGAAGATGAAGACGACCACAGAAATAAAAAGCCAGTTAAAAAATAGTAAGTGCTGGGTTTTTTTTTTCGTTTTTTATGTACTCAAATTAAAGTTCTAGATAGTTTGAAATGTTATCATCCAACTAGTTTTGCCTAATGCATCTTTGGATAATGCTGTAACTCTAACCTGTTAGTAATCAAAGATGCAATACAAGGTTGCAGAAAGCAGTAGGCCACTGCCTGGCGTCTAGGCGTTACTTAGGCGCAATCCAAGTGCTGTTAAGTGCACTAGGCATTTTATTTTTCTGCAAAATATGCCAAAATAGAACAGCAAATCTAAAAGAATAGAAGAAATGCCTAACTCTACTGCCGAAGGCCTAGGAAAGGCCGTAGAGCACTGCCTAGTGCTTAAGTGGTGCCTAAGGAGCGCCTAGGCAAGCTTTTTGCAACACTGGATGTGAGCTATGTTTCTTTGTTTTGAACATAAAGCTGTGTGTTTAGCAGAGTTTGTAAGCAGCATTTGCTTATGATTGCTTATAAGCTGTGCTGAACACCTCCTTTGTTTTGGATTAAAGGGAATGATGGGAACTAGGGAACAAAGGGGGTAAGAAGAAAGGTTCTTCTCTTTTAAAAGATTGCTAAATGAGAAGATAAGGAAATGAGGTAAATCCCCTTGAAAAGAAGAATATTTTTAGGAGAAGGTTCCTAATCTATAACTTGGTTGGTGATCAACTGATCATTGGTGAAGATGAAGAAGAAGTTCTCCCTTTTATGCACTGATGTTTCTTTGTTACTTTTCATTTTCCTGCAGGCAAATTATGTATCCTTAAATAAAGCCTGGAGACTTTGCTATGCGCAAAAATTTTTACCATTAAGGCAGAAACTTTACAGAGCTTGTGTGTGTGCGTTCTGAGAGATAAGTCTAAATTGGATTAATATACATGCAAGATTGAAACAAGAGTATAGCCACAAATGTTTATTCTTTACAGAGTATGGATCTTTTGCATTATTGAAGTTGATGCTTTCTAAAATTTTTTTCTTTTTAGGTTTTCTTCGTTCCCCTTTTGCCTGTGGAGTCTTCTTTGTTGTTGTGACTTGGAAGATCTAAGATGCCTAGATAAGAATTCTTTGGTGTCCACGCTTCGGAAATTATTGATGTATAGTTATGTTTTTCTCGGAGGTTTGCAGTTGAGTCCTCTATTGTCTATCCTGCCACTTTTAAAAAATGGATCGAATTTATTACTTACATGACATATCATGCTTCTCTATATTTGCAAAAGAATGAGTAAATGATAATTTGTCTTTTGCTATCAGCATGCATGTTATTCATGTTTTTCCAATTTTCATCCCTTTAATTCAGCTTTAATGTTACGCAAGATTAAGAGTTATGAACTTATGAAATGTTGAGATGAAAATTGAAACCATTTTTCTTTTATAGGCTCCCTATTTCCCTGGATGAATATGTTGTCTTGTGCTGTTCCTTCCTGTCAAAAAGGGTGCAAGTCTATTCCTTTTATAGGTGTGGTTGATGCTCACAAGAGTCAAAGAATTAGGGAAGGAAATTGTATGATTTTTTTGGTTGGGATCCATCCTTGTGAAGTTGATTTTGGATTTGCAAGGACTGGAGGGTCTAATCCATAGTTATCATTACCGTACTATACTAGCTTATATGATCGGTACATATCGGTTTTTATATTAAATAAGGTATATGACTCAATTTCATTTCGGTCAAATTTTATCTGTATTGGTTAAATTTCAATGTATCGGCCGATATTTGGACGTACGGGCCATTACACAACTCAATTCAAATTTAAAAAGAGTAAATTTCATTTTTGGTTCTCAATTTTAATGTTTTACATAATTTTCATCCTTTAATTTTTTTATGTATTTTTTTAGTCCATCAAATATGAAAAATGTATATTTTTTTAGTACTTCTATCAATTACTCTGTTAAATGCATCTAAATATACACATTTTTAGTCCCTTTAACTTAAAGTGAATAGACGAAAAATATACATATATTAAAAGTTAAAGAACTAAAAATAGTTATTTTAAACTTGTTTTCAATTTATAAGAATATTATGGTTTTAAATATTAATATCTTTTTTTTATTTTAAATTTGATATTTAATTTATAAGAATATATATTTATAGCGATAAATTTGAAACAATACGTGAAAAATTTTGGTATCCAATGTGTATTATTTCAATAATAAAATCAATACGTATGTCGGTACAATATTGACAACTTTGATCTAATCAGTAATGAGGAAAGTAACGTTGCTTTTGAGTGCATCTAGGGTTATGCAGAGATATTGTAAACGATGTATTAAAGGCTTCTATGAGTTTTCACAATTAGCTGAAGATGTCATTAAAACTGGACTTGCTAATGGCTGCGAAGATATTGTGATCAAAAGTTACCGTTAGCAATTGCTGCTGTTCCATTCTTCTAAACCCAAAATTCCTTTAAAGAGCATATGTTGTTTTCTTTCCATTGAAGCATCATATGCAGATTGGCTTACTTCTAGTTTTCAC